CCGGGAGTGATTCCAGATTTTGACTGATTACTCAACTTCCATGGAAAATATTCCTTAAAGCTCTGCCCTTGGGCATTTGTTGTTAGAGGTACGTTCATGGGGTGTAAGTGGAAAAGCAGAAATAAATTTCTAAATTAGCAGCTGACCTTCTAGACTCCAGGATGGTGAAAAAGAATTATTTAGGGCCAACCCAAACTGATTTGAACATTCAAAAACAAACAAATAAACGCCAACAACTAAGTACTCTAATTCCTAGTTCCGTTTCCTTCCGCTTTTATTTTACCGAAGAGCAACAGTATTCTCTTGTGACCTGGGGTGATGCAGTGTTTTACCAGGTTTTATTCCTGGGATTGCAAATGTATGTGTATTTCCCCCAAAATCAAATAAATAAAGTTGAGAAGCCCACGTGCTCTCTCTGCTAAACCTCCTAAATGTGAACAATGAAATCGAAAATTCAGTCCACTGAGTACATAAGAAATCTATATCCTTTTGGCTCCTTCTTCTGCTATAAAATCCTACGCTATATTTTCTGTCTTTAAAAGAAAATAGAAAAACAATCTAATAAATAATCAATTCATAAAAGCTACTTTTTATGAGCTTTGCTGTTCAGGGGCATATTCTGCTGCCAATGATGAATTAAAAAAAAACAAACACACACACAAAAAACAACTTGAGATTCTGGTTTGGGAGCAGGTACAAAAGACTGACATTGCCTGGGAATTTTGTGCCTTGATCTTTTCAACACTTTCTCTGTGCCCTACACCAGGTTCACAGCTACTGGATTTAATTTCAGCTGCTCACTGAGGGGCACATTCCCATCCTTGATTACGAGCAAAGTTTCCTCTGTAGAGTTGGAGAAAGAGAGACAAGACTGGCCAATTCCATCCAGTGTTGGCAGGGTTTGTGAAAACTGGACCGGCAGGGTTTCTGCCTTTGTTTTCAACATAAGAGAGGCTCCAGCTTATTTTCCAAAGGAAACAGCAACACATAATTAACTGGGGCAGGCATGACCTAGGGCAGATGGCAACAGCAGCCCAGTGGGGATCAGAGTGTCTGGAACAAAGATTCCTGCTGGGCAGTACTAATCTTCAGAATTAGGGGGGACTGACAGGGCTTTCTCAAAAACTATTTAAGTTTAAAATACCTTACGTTTGTCTAAAACACCTCCTGGAAAACACACACACACACACACACACACACACACACACACACACACACACACAGTACCTTGGAAATTTTTAGAGATAAAAATTATCTCTAATTTACCTCTAATTTAGAGGTAAAATATAAATGAAATTCAGCAGCAGGAAAAACAAACAATAATGGTGTGATTCAGTAATAATGGCTAATACTCTTGAGAGTTTAGAATAGGCCAGATATGCTAAATTCTTTAAAGCATTATTCGATCCCATGTTTGAAACATTTCTGAGGGTACATACTATCTTTGCTGCCTTTTTAAAAATAAGAAAATTTAATCATAAAGAAGTTGTGGAATGTGCCTGAGAGTATAAGTTGCCACACAAAGTATTCAAGTGTGAATATACAGAAAGAAAATGAAATAGAATTGAAAGCCTCAAAATAAATTGATACACAGAGGGTACCAAAAAAAAATGTATATATATTTTAAGAAAGGAAAAAACTATATTAAAACTATAATGCTCAGTATATAATGATAACAAAAGAGGAATACAAGTCATGTGTATACATTTTTTTGGCATCCCAGGTATGTGGGAAAATATACAGAATCTCAAATGATTAGAGAAAGGTGAATAATTACATAAATGTTGTTGGGACAAGTGGGTATCCATCTGGAAAAATATTAATAAAGTCAGAGCCTGACCACGACCAGCGAAATTGGATAAATTTCAATGCATAAAAGATATAAATACAATTATAAATAAATGCATATAGCAACAACTAGAATAAACCAAGGATCCTTGTGTAATCTGGGAATGGAGAAGACCAAAAGTATTTACCTACTGATGTTAATTGACTTGAAGATGAAAAGTAAAAATCAAAAACATTGGAAAATCAAATCAATGAACCTTTCCCTCTTTCTCCTCCCAAACACAGTATAAAAACTGTCTCCCTCTGCTTTACCACTTCCAAGTAAGTTATAACACAGAATAATCAGCAAGCACTAATTAGTATCAATTCATACAACTAGATTCAAAATATCTCATCTGGAGGAATCTTAGCAATAACTGCATCCTCCCCATGTTTTATAGATGAGAACGTGTGGCAAGTCACCTGCTCAAAGTCATAAAGCTAATTAATGCTTACATCTTTCAACTGGGGTATTTGTGCTCTCACAGATTGCCTCACACGAGCAAAGCAAAGAAGAGGAAATCATTTTGTAGTTGGGATAATAAACTTTAATCCCATAGTTTAATCAGGGAAACAATAATTAATAACAACACTCTGTTTCAACCTTTTCTACAAACCAGGTCATTGTGTACTTTTTACATACATTAACCTGTTAAGTAAAGTGCTGTCATTTTAATCCTATGAGGGAATGGAGGCACTTATTTCAAGGTCACAACTCTGCCTCTTATTAGAAGCCTATGGACAGTAAGTTTGTTGAATGCTACCTGAATGTGACCGTAACAAGTGCAATGTCAGTTCCTCACCCTTCCCAGATGTCCAAAAGAAATCAGTTCCGAGTCTTCAGGACAAGAAGTTTGATGTCCTTCCCTATGCCTACTCCAAACACAGCCACGTTCGGAACCCTGTTTGAGCCTCATCTTGTAAGTAAAGCTTTTTCGCTGGAGGGCCCTGGTCTTCACAGAGCTTCCTCATCTCTAAACTGCTGAGTAACTTACAGTCTGTATCGCAAAGTTATAATTTTATTATACCTGTTATTGAATTAATCTGTAAATGATTTCATGTGTTTTGGTTTGATTGGTGCAAGTAACTCGCAAGCCAATTGAAGACAATAAGCTTCCTTACACAACTATACTCCCTGAACATCTAGCAAGGCAAAACCTCAAAAAATGTTTTCTGACTACCTGATTTCTTAATGATCCCAAGCCTGTACATTCCATGCCAGTATCACATGCCTTTCTCCAAGTTGTGTATGGAATAACATTGTTTGTTTTAGCTCAATTCCACCATTCTTTTCTTTTTTTTCTTCCTTCCTTCCTTCCTTCCTTCCTTCCTTCCTTCCTTCCTTCCTTCCTTTCTTTCTAATTCCACCATTCTTTTATGAATTATAATCCAAGATTGCAAGAAGACAAGACAGGAAACACCATTCTCTCCTTGGCTGGTCAATTTTTTTACTCTGCTAATTGAAAAAGGACAAGTCAAGCTGAAACAGCCTTCACATTTATGCATTTTTATTCCTCTCTTTCTCTCTTATATTACTCTCTTCTCAAAGATGAAAGTGATAGATTAGGATTAGGCTCGTCATTGAGAAATTGTCTCTATTCCTTGTAATTTACCTTTACCCTGTATTTTTAGTCTTGCTTAGAGAATTTGCCTAAGTGCATGTATTGGAAGAGGGAATGGTCACAGAGATGAACTGATGACAGGGTCTTTGTATACTCATAGAATTGTCATTTGGCTAGGAGTTTGATGGCTTCATAAATTTTTTTGCAACTGAAAAGCTAAATTCCATGCATCATCTGTTTGCAAAAATATTTCTGTTCTGATAATCAAAGAGCTACTAGTGTGAACCTTTAAGTGCTGTGATGCCCACATGCCTCAGGCCCCCAGTGAACCGTAGCAATATCCAGAAACCAATAGGTCAAGGCCATTTGAGCAGGGAGTTTCTAGATTTTGCTCCAGCATAATGGCTCACATTGATTCTGAGACATTTTGACCATATTTCCTGGGTAAACAAATTCAAAGATAAGTCTGAAACCCAGACATCTATGCAGGAAAAGAATGGCTAAGTAGCAAGACTTTCAAACCAAGTCTAAACTGAGAACATAAAGCATATTTCTAGATGCATGTTACAGAAGGGGGTTTCATAGAAGGAACAGATGGGAGAGAAAAACAATAACAATGTCAAAAATTTGTTCTATATTGAAAGGCCGTCTCAGTAGAAAGTGTTCCATTGAAGAATGGACACATTATCTACTCGTATAATGTGAGGAACCTACAACATAATGCTTATGTGCTAAAGAGGTAAAATTTCTGACTGTCTGATGAGCCAAAATCCACCACACAATTCCCTATACTTTCACCCGCTGACAGATTGGTGTGTGTCTACCTCCAGTCTCAGCCATCTCAGCCATCCACTTTTTGCCTAGTTCTCTGCTGAGATCCATCACATACACTTGCAATTTCAATGTCTACTGAACTCCCATTGGAGGTACCCAGACTGCTTAATCCAGTTGAGATTCAGCCATCAGCGTTTCACTACTTCTAGCTTTCCAAGCTAGAAGAATGGGCTCAGGACAGGTACACTCTTTGGTAAGCTCCCAACCTCTGCATAGGAGATTAAAAACAGCGTCCACCAGTGTATGTGTGGTGGGGGCCAGGGGATGGTTGAGGCTTAACTCTTTGAAGCTCAGAGCCACTTGATTAAACTCTTTCCCTTCCATTGCATGGTAGTCCATAAAGAAGCCTAGTATTACTTTTCTTCAATGATGCATTCTGTGAGAGAAGGGAGTCATGTTTTTTACCTGCTAAAATTAATCAAATCCCCGGAAAGGACAACTGCTATCAGTGCCATTACTTATGCCATTTGCCATTGCTTCTATTTTTATATGTAAGGATTTATTTTGGTGGCTCCGTACTAAGCCCTATGATGGAGGACCAGCATTTTACATGGAAGTTGAGCATTTTAATGGAGACCTCTCTGTGTTTTCTGGAAGTTGTGTCTTTCATGATGCTGGAGCCAGGCTTGCAGCCACTGTGTATTGCTGAGTTTTGCAGGGTCTCCTTCCTGGGGGATTGGGGCTGGACTGCTGTTGGAATCATAATATCACTTCAGTGCGGCCACTGCTGCATCTGGTCCACTGTTGCATTGCGTTATGATGGTTTTCTCTATTCGATCAAGGAGGATTGCTAAGATCATCCACAGTGATTACACTACCTTTATCTTTCACAATTAAAAAAACAGTGTCAATATAAAGCTCCCTTTCAGAGTACCTACAGGTCACAGAGAGGGTTTCAACGAAGAGCTGTAAGCCGATTGGGCAGCCCAGTCTTCTTTAAGATGTGTTGCCGTTTCCTGGTAACACATGGAAAATACTGTAGGAAACTGCTCTCAGCCCTCTCCTAGGGCCTGCTTTTAAGCTTGTTCTGTGTCCTCTCTGCTTTTTTTTCCCCCAAGGGACCTGGAATGCATCTCAGTGAGTTCATTTTTCACTGACATTCTGTCAAGAAGGAGGTCGGTGTTAGCACAGATGAATACTTCTTGGACAGGTCTTTTCATTCTGTTAAACAGAAAAGTGCCTTTCTTTAATAGCAGATTCTTCTCTTTTCTTGACCAAAGAATGTTTTCTGTAGTTACTTCATGGACTATACTACCTATAAAGCACAAATCCTGAGCCATTCATTCAAAATATCTTATGCAGAGGCTTTTGATGGACAAAATCAGATCTTTTTATCTCATAGACTTCACTGGGAAACAATATCAAGAAGAAGCCCTGACTTGCTCCGAGTTCACAAAGACTGGACATGAATAAAAGAAGCAACGTAACACGCCTCCAGAGAAGGATAAATTTTAGCTTTGCTTTACATGGATCTGCTTTTTGTCTTTGGACTAGCTCGTATTTATTTGTTTCACTTCTTTTTTGTGATACAGGGATACCAATACTGATCTAAATCTTCTTGGCATATGGTGTAGCCTCAATACATATTAGAGAAATAAAGGAACCAATGAATAAAATGGTGTGTTAATATGAGGAAATGACCACAAACTGATGAGGAATACACCACACAATAACACTAGAGTTAGGAGGCAAATTATTATGTGTGTGTGGAAGAAATACAAGGGGACCGTGTACTAATTAGAGCAAGGTAGAGATGGCTTATCTTTTTTTTTTTTTTTTTTTTTTT